TTTTGTTAAAAAACCCTTCTTCCTCCATCTTTCATCCTTTCTACATGTCCAAACTAGCGTAACATTGCTTGTCACTACATCATCTTCCAATACACACCTTTCTCTAATCGTTTTACATTTACTCTAGAATTTTCCAGTATCGAAAGTGCGTTAACAAAATTACACCTAAATTCACATTGCAAGAATTAGATAAGTCCTGTAATAGGTTTATCTCTTCATACCACTAGTTGGGCAGATAATCTTAGAGCATAATCCCAGACTATGCAGGTGCTTTAAGTAATATAGGTATAATTAAACAAATCCTTTGTCTGGCCAATTGTTTTCGCATTGAGATAATTTCATTCAAAAACAAATATAATAAGTTCTTTGAACGATAATCTATAATCTGAGATGAGTTAGTGAATAAGTGTTATGTTATTTTACCTCCTCGTAATCGGACAAATTTTTATGTCTGTCATAAGCTTAAAGATAATTGAAGTCTAATAGCTTATTAAAGAGAAAGTAATCTTATCTGATACTAATAATAATTTAAGAAATAATGTGTTATAGCTAGCTTACCTCGCGCTGGTTAACCTGCTCTCATTATCATCATCATCATCATCATCAGCCCATAAATGCCTAATGCTGAGCAAAGCATCTTCTTACACAAACGCTTGACCATTAATCACCACGCTTGCTCAATGTGGGTTAACGATTTCAAACTTATAATTACAAATTATAAGCCCAGGTTTCCTCACCATGTTTTCCTTCACCGTTTGTCAGTAGTGTCTAAATAATCTTAAAAAGTACTAATAACTCGGAAAAAGCCACATTGTTACTTGTAGTTGGTAGGTCTTGAACCCGCAGTTTCATGATAGAGAAGCGGGCGTCTTAAACCTCCGGCCCACAACGACATAACCTGCTTTATTCGGCGGCTATTGATTGTTGCGGGACATTTAACTCGTCGAGTACCGGTTTTGTAGACACAATTATAGAACAATAGGTTGCGGTCACCGGTGACCGCTTGGTGTTTGACAGTTTAATAGCTTATAGTCAAGCAACAGAAAAATAACTATTCAAATGAGACTAGTAATTTCCGAGATTGACGTCAGCAAACAAACTTTTCAGCTTTATGTATTATTATAAAAAATATTGGTATATATTATTCACGCGGTGACACCTGCTGTTTGACTTTTAATTACTATAGCGTGATATTTTATAGCCTATATACCGTTCTTAGATAAATGAACTTTCCAAAACAAAAATATATATTCACATTGGACCAGAGATAGGGCGTTAAAACTAACAAACAATTTAACTTTATGTAATAGTAATGTATTTATATATTACTAGCAACCCACCAGCTTTGCACAGGTGCAATATGCATAACATAACATAACAACACGCCTTTTATCCCCGAAGGGGTAGGCAGAGGTGCACATTATGCCACTGTACAATGTGTCACCCACTTTTCAGGGGGTGAGCCTATTGCCATATACTGGACACAATTCCAGACTCCGTGCTACTAATGAGAATTTAAAAAAAAACTATGTATTATACATATAAACTTTCCCTAAGAATCACTTTTGCTACTATTAAAAAAAAACAGCATCAAAATCCGTTGCGTAGTTTTAAAGATCTAAGCATACATAGGGACAGACAGACGGCGGATAGCGACTTTGTTTTAAACTATATAGTGATAATATTGATACAACATGATTCATTAATGATAAGTATTACGTGACTGCAATACACTGCTGCGACGTGGGTAATTTCTTTCAGAATGCACAAAGGTTCACACCTTTGTCACCTTTGTCTTTCAGGAATACAATGTGTACGATGTAAAGGCCATGTATGCGCGGCGAGACTTTTTATTGATGATAAGTACAGACACGAGAGTAATCAGTATTGAATTGTTCATATGCAGAGATGCACGTATTGATTAAAATGCCAAAATCCCCTGTTTTTACCCGATTATAGGATTTTTTTTTTTAAGGGGGGAAAATCATCGTATGACTGTCCCCGCCTGGGTAAGGCGGGAGGGAGTGTCAGACTCTTACTGACTAAAAACCACCCCGTTCCTTCTCCTGCACGTCGAGCCGGAGCCCCGGTTACCCGTTAGGTTCTCCGCGACACCCGATTATAGGATAGTATTGTTTTTTGAGTATATTATTGTGTGAGTGCAATATTACTTTACATTACTGACTGAACGGTTGACTGTACGGTTTGACTGCACGGTTGATTCGGTGACTGGGCAACCGGCTGCCATGTAACGTGTCGCGGGTTCGATTCCCGCACGGAACAATACTTTGTGTGATTCACAAATTGTCGTTTCGGGTCTGGGTGTCATGTGTATGTGAACTTGAATGTTTGTAAACGCACCCACGACAAAGGAGATAATCCTAGTCTGGGGCAACGTTTAAAAAAATAACAATAAAAAAACATTATTCTTCAAAATACTTAACATTATTCTTCTCAGACGTAAATAATGCGGTAGTTGACAGGTAGTCAAATTCAATACTTTTATTGAAATTGTCAAAAACGATACTTTTCTATGATTTTTGTATTGGATCGCTACTTATGACGTCATCATATTTCTGCGTCAAACAGCATACTTATTTCCTTAAAATTAGCGAGAAAAAAAACCAAACGTAGGTAAATTGTCAAATCAATGGATGAGAGTATGATTATTTTTTAATGATTGCATTGAAAAGTTGTAACAATTTATTTTAAACCTAGGAAACTACCCAATTGTAGGTATTATCCACGACTGAACATAGACTTCCCCCAAATATAAAAGTTATAAAGGAGCCAAACATAATGTGAGGGTCCAATGGACTGTTTTTTATTGTTGTTTTGTTGATTTTTGTTAGTTTTATTTTAATGTTTGAAAATAATGAACCTCCTTTTTTATATAGTAATTTTTATTTTGACGTGTACCTTTAATGACATTGTTTTCTCACTTAATATGACACACCTTGTTTTATAGTTTTAATTATTATGACTTCAATGTAAAAGTTTTGCAGGCCCGAATTGTGGACAGAATAAGAGGGACTATAATTATAATGTGACCACTGTATACCTTGTTCGGGAAAATAAATGATTTTGATTTGATTTGATTTCATAATACCCCTAGATCGGCCGGTTGAAAGCAGCTGCCCGGATTCATACATCAGTCGCATCAGTCGCATCATCAAAATATTCAGTGTTTATTCCGCTGAAGAAATGAATTTGTACCCAAATATATGAAGTAACGCCTAATTCTATTATATATATTAATCTTTTCTTGAATGGGTGAGCCGAGAGGGAGTGTCAGACTCTTATTGACTAGAAACCACCCCGTTCCTACTTCTGCTTTGCATGCCCGGCCCCGGCACTGTCTGTCACAGGTCTGATGGCACTTTTAGGCGCGCGATCGATTTACCGCCCCGCAATCCACATAATATACAAGAATTGCTCGTTTAAAGGTATGAGGTAGATAGATTTTAATTAGCACACACGTTGTATAAATCATGAAACTTCATACATAAACACTGATTTAAAATAATATTCAGGTTTGCAAGATTTATTTATTTATATATTTATTTATTTTATTTTTATTTATTTATTTCAATCACTAACAACTATCTATCTACCATTACAGGTACATTACAATACGATAGTGTAGCCATCAGTCTTACCACATCTTTTAGTATCTAATTACTTATTACTTAATTATAATTAAATTTAAACTTAACAGTTATACATACCTATATGATATATGATAATGATGTATATAAGATGAATTGTAATGTGTTGATTGATGATTAATACAGAAAGGCATCTGTCTACACCCCCAGGTTAATATGAGTCATCTGATAGACTAATTAGTTTCACTTAATTAAGAATTAAATTGTAGAATCGAACTTTGATCTTGTTACGAGAAGAAAGTGCGACACGTGTTCATACTAATACCTGCTAGAAGGGACCAGAGAATTTCAGTGTTACGATTTAAGATGGATTTTTTTATTATGACCACATTAAGGTTATTATTTAAGTCGAACATTTTAATAGAAATAGTTATTAGATATATAGTTTTAATTGAGAGACTAATTACTAATTCAATATTTTTAGTAATTATATGTTAACTATAATTTTAACTGTGGAGGGTGCTTACCATGCTTCGACAAGAATAGACCGACTCGACCGGAGTGATACCACAGCCTTACAGGAAACTGACGCGAATCAACGCTTGCGTTGTGTTTCTTCGTGTGAGTGAGGTTACCGGAGTCCCAATTACCCCCTTCCCCAGTCTCTCCAATCCCCGAATCCCCATAATCCTCAATTCCTATAAGGCCGGTAATGCACGTGTAACGTCTCTGGTGTTCCGGGTCGCCGATTGCTTACTATCAGGTGATCCGTCTGCTCGTTTACCGACTATGTGGGATTATGCTATAAAAAATGTATACCATTTTTTATAGCATAATCCCACTTCTTACCATGTAAATAAAAAATGGTATACATTTTTTATAGCATAATCCCACTTCTTACCATGTAAATAAACTAACAAAAAATAAATTGTCATGAAATTTTAATTAACAACTAGTTATAAAAAAATAAATAAATTGAATCCAAAAATATAATTCAAACCCATTAATAAAATAAAACTAGATGTTTAAATTTAAGAACCCTAAATTTATTTATCGTATTATTTAATATATTATCGAACTAAAAATAACATCAGCTGATGTAACGCTTACATTACATTTTCAGTGACGTTCTCAAATTTTCGATAATGCTCTCTAAAATTAATTATTATCTATATCACAAGTATAGCACGCGCCGTTTCAATGTTTCCGATATAATATATAACACTATATATCTCCGCTTATTTATATAAAGATCTAGTCAACACACACCGTTCGCATTTATCATTTTGCTTAAAACCTCGCCTACATACGCACCTCTGCTTTATTCGAAAAATAAATTTATGAATAAACAAATACGTTTATAATTTTTTGAATAAATTATTTTGAATTTTTTTTCGGAACATTTAAATTTATTTTTTTATAAATAAATTTTGCACCTGTTTATTTTTTTGGACATTAATTTGTGTTTGTGCTAAGTTTTTGGAATAATGGCGTTAAGAATGACGGTGAGTTTATTTATTGTTTGTTTTTATGTGTTTGTGCTTAGTTTAATTATCGTGAGCGTTAATAATTTTTAATCTGTCGTATATTTTTTTATTCGTCCTAATGCATTCAAATTCATATAAATATTGTTACGTATAAAATTAGAATGTGCTTTTCTATAAATAGGTTACTTAGGAATATTTTTAGTAAAAGGATATCATTAACTTTAAATAGTAACCGGCGTTTCCTCTTTTCCTTATATAGAGATTAATTCATTTATTTAAATTAAAATCTACCATAATATAAAATGCTGGAACTGAGAATTACATTTGTTTATAAAATGTAACTCTTGACATTTTTATTCAACAAATTATAACCTACTTATAAAAATAATAAGGCATTCCCAAATACTTACCGTACCACAACAACTTACCAATATAAACATTACGTATCCCTAATAGAGTTCAAATTTCAATACAAATAAAAATACCTATATATTATCAACCTGGACACAAAACGTGATACCTAACGTATCACGTAGCGACACAGTGAAGTTTTAAGATAAAAAAAATAATTGGTTGCCATGCTCCCTATATTTGTATAAACACTATTGTACTATCTTAATCCAAACATTATTTGTTATTGTCTGGATCTCATATAAATTAAGATTTAATAACTATTAACGTAATTAAAAATCCTTTGCGTCATCGTGGAAGCTTCCAAATAGTCATTATTGGGTGGGTGTTTCCAAAATTGATATATATATATATATATATTGGTGTGGCTGTAAAGCTTAAAGTGTAGCTGGTTCAATATTCAGTAAACATAAATCGCTTCCAACTGACCTGTCTTGAAGTCATTGTGTACATCTTGTCGCTAATATGATGATGAAGACCCATCGAGTGGAATCTATAGAATAGAATATATAAGTTTAATTATTCGAAATAAATTTGGGTACAAATTATAAGGTATTACAAAGTTTTAACGTTTTAATTGGCACGCAAATTCAGATTTAATAAAACTTATCATACACGAATTCTTGTACAGAATAATAACACTTTATTCCTTCATACTAACTACTACTAACTAACTAACTTTAATTTTGATCGATTACTTATGTTAAGGAATTTGTTTATATAAATAACTTGTCCTATAATTAGTAATATTGTGAGTGCTCCTTTCATAACAGGATATTCTTCCTAGTATAGGCATTCAAACCTAGTGAGATCTCTGATTGTAAATTAAGATGTTTATCTGTACTATGACCAATTTCTTATAATGAATAAAGATTTATATTATTATTATTTATATTACTTTTGCAAAAGTAATTCTGTAACATGCTTTTTAAATTTTGTTAGTGGTTGTTTTGTTCCTTGACCTTATTTGGTAACGTATTATAAAAAGTGGTATCACACAAATAACACTTTTTCTTAAAAGTGTCGTTTTAAAAATACCGGTGCTTAATATCTTAATATAAAAAAAATAGCTAAAAAAAGTAGATTGAAGTTGACTAATAGATAATGCTTTTCAGGACTCAGTCCACCACAAGTATTATATTTATAGTTTTGTAGACAGTAAAGTTTGAATAAACGATTCTATAGTTAGTGCTGTATACGTTATAAATTAAGATGGGGTAGAAATTAATAACCAAACGAAACTATGTATAATAGCCAAGAGAACATTTGAGTTTGTACAAAAAGAAAACTCAATTTTGAGTATGACTATGTATTTAACCCGTTGAAAATTGTTGAAATCATCCCCTAAATTTGTTAATACTAAAGTAGTCTCTAAATACTAAACATTGGTAATAAGATCTATAATGTAGTTAGTGGAGAGCGATCACTGGTGACCGCTTGGGGATATATGAGTTGGTTTCAGCTTTTTCTTACACCAATCGTGATGTTAAGCTAAATGTCATTGTTTAACTTCGTATAGCTGTCATCTAGTCCCTCCAGCCAATAACTTAATATAATTAGCTGTCATCTACTCTCTCCAGCCAAAATAATTTTAATAAACACGCGAAGTAATATAGCTACAAACAAACTCATTTATATAACGCTTCATTCATAATATTTTAACCTTCCATGACATATTTTTGGTCCATTTCATTCATTATTATCGCATTGATAACTAACATTTTTAGACCCCAAACAGAGAATAAGACAAAACAACTACATATTATTTTTTAACCCCCGGTTGTCGAACTTTCGACATTGGGCATTTAATATTCTAAATACGTATATATATGTAATGTTTTCAAAACACTTCTCGAGATGTAAATAGTTACATCTAAGTTACCGTTTCATTAATTTTAATTGGCTTTCATATATAGCTATGTAGATATATATATGTATTACAGTGATTCATTGGAAAGAAATGTTACTAACCTGTAATATCATATGGCCTTTGACCTAGCACGTGGTTCGTATTCTTTTGAAGTAATTATAAAGTGGGCGGAGAGGGGCGTGGCGTGGGCGTATATATTTTTTTAATATAAATATATGTATATTTTTAATTATATAAGTGATACGTATTGTCATTAGTTTGTTCTGTTATTAAGTGAAAAATAGTTACAACTAGTATACAACTTATTTTTCTAACCTGCCAATCGACATTTTATTAATAATAACAATATTGTCATACATACGATTGAATTAGAAGATTCTAAAACTCAACTACTATATAATTTGAACACAAAAACTTTCGTTCAGTAGCCAAATAACTATAATTCCAAACTTACATTTAAAAAGAATTTTATAAGTATAATAATTTGATTCGAATTGTTAACACATTGATGCGCAGCCGCAGGTTTTGTAACAGGCACGCCTCCAACGGCAACGCCCATCGTAAAGCTAGTGACGTAGCAACCTTTATTGGCTTTGGTTTATCATAACTTGTTTGCAAGTAGGTTTTATATACTATATAGGTACGATCAAAATAAATAAATTGTAGGTATAGCTGGTTGACAACAAATAATGTTTATTAGTGTTTATCATTTTTTTTTAGAGGTACTTAGGTAATATACACAATATTTTTAATTGTGTCCGTCATATATTTAATTATTTAAAGATTTTCTATATCAGATCCCATGACTAAATCTTTCTAAACGGATGAATCTGGGCACGGGAGTGTCCCAGTTAAGTCAAGTGCGAAGCAAAAACTGCCGTATCGTCCTTTACTGGAATATACCTTTATATTCTATACTAGCGACCCAACCCGACTTTGCACGGCTGCAATATGCGGGTATTATACATATAAACCTTCATTAAGAATCACTCTATCTATTAAAAAAATCAAAATAGTTAAGTAATAGTTAAGTAAATAGTAGAGTAGTTTTAAAGATCTAAGCATACATAGGGAAAGACAGACGGCTGATAGCGACTTTGTTTTATACTATTGATTAAGTATTTTATTTAGACCTTTATATTATTTATTAATTGTTCCGATTCTTGCTTAAATATATTGATGTGCAAAATGTTTTGTACTGATACGGAATTTAACAGTGTGTCTACTTTTAGGCCTTGAACTTGCCCCCAATTATTTAAATAATGATGAGAGTAGGTACACGTGTCTTATTATTCCACCTCTATATCTACATAGATACTGTCTGACTGTTTGTACAGGCTAGTCTCTGAAATTGCTGGACCAATTTTGACACGAGTTTTATTGGTCGGTAGCTGATATAGGTACTAAGGAGTAACATAGGCTAGGTACTTAGAAAAACGCAGATGAACAAAATTTTTTAATATCCTTACACGTGAAACAAGAATTCCGCTTAAAAATTGATCATAGACCAAAAATAATCGCAATAATCTGTAGCGAATAGATAAAGGCAGTCTGTATTGCGGGTTTTGTCCGGATTGAAGCAGATTGGGTCAGCGCTATAGATCATTGAATGAATAACATAACGATAGATAATATTAGTAATTGTTACCATATATTGTAATTATGAAAATAATTAACACGAAATAGATTCCGTTAGTTTTAATGGTTTTTGGAGGTTTGAATTGACAATCATGGGGTTCTGAGATTATTCAGATTTGTTAGTTTGTGGGAAAAAACGACTGCCAAACGAGAGGGTTCCGGTCCGGTACGAGTTAAGTACCTATTTAAAAACAAAATTTAAAATCTTTGAGTAGTCTAGAATTGCCTAAAGACAGTCATAGAACTTATAACATAACTGGTAAAAAGTTGATGTAATATTTAATATGTGTACTTATATATCTTAAATTTACAATATATCTTGTACTGTTTGTGATTAACAGTAATTAGTAAATAATAATAATTAGAAAACTAGCAAAATACAAAATATATATCGTAATAAGCGAGTTGTGTGATATAATATTTAGTCGATTGGACATTTTAATCGATAAGTTCCAGGTGTATCAATTAAACCTCATCGATAATGAGTTTTTTATATAGCAATAATAACAATTTAATCATCTTTAACTCATTAAATTTGTACATTATATAATTTTAGGATTTATATATACCTATATAAATGGGGATTAATTTTATAATTATGATGAATATACAGTATAAAAAGCTTATATAATATAATACTATATAATATCTGATATATCGTAAAAATATTATTTAGATTATTTAGATAATATAAGTAAGTATTAATTTATTTTTGATAAATTATATTGCATTGTTGACCTATGATCATATATACTATTATTATATAGATAATGGTGTGTGGCTTAAAAATTGAGAACCATTAAAAAGTAGATATCAGAATGGTAGGTAAATTTTTTTGGCTGCGAAAGACTTAACGGGATTGCCGGGGCTCTGGCTCGAAGTGTAGGAGTAGGAACTGGGTGGTTTTTAGTCAGTAAGAGCCTGACACTCCCTCTCGCCTAACCCAAGGCGGGAGAAATCATTGGATAATTTCCCCCCTCACAATTCCAGACTCCGTGCTACTACTGGGAATTTTTTGAAAAACCCAGTAATACTTTACCCGACCCGGGAATCGAACCCGAGACCCCTTGCCCAGCAGTCGCACTTACGACCACTTGGCCAATTAGGCAGTCATATTAAACGAACTCTTGAGTTTTTTTGGTGTGGACCTATTGCATGGGACTCATTCAAATCATGGGTGAAAATTGGTGTTACATTCGCTGCAAATGTTTACCCAAAGAGTATATAGTAATATAATATATGTAGTACCCCATATCCCTACCGCTTCAGGTATATTTTTTTCTCTTTATTAAAACATAACAAGAGTCTTTAAATCCATCCAAACCATAAGAATTATTGTAGTAGGGAGAAATATTAGGATCTGTCCAAACTACATACGAACTAGATCTTGACAGCACCGTCATAATATGGTTATGACAGAATGACACCTATCAACTTCGGGGATTAAAAGGTTGCACATTTTAAGTATGTGATTAAGATTTACCTATACCTAAGTTTATTTGTTCAGAATATCAGAGACGTAACGTTATATATAACGTTGCGGAGAACCTAATGGGTTACCGGGGCTCCGGCTCGACGTGCTGAAGGAACGGGGTGGTTTTTAGTCAGTAAGAGTCTGACACTCCCTCCCGCCTCACCTAGGCGGGAGCAGTAATTCGACGATTTTCCTCCCTTATAAAAAAACGTTATATATAATATTACAAATCTATATATAAAGTACAGCGCAAAAACAACACCAACTGTTTTTTACCTTTAATTAGCAAGTATTGTCGCGAATTGATAAAATATATAATAGACCCCAATTGACCCCGCTAATCAGGTTCTTATTTTTAATTATTAACTCATCTATAATGAGAATATAATGTTTGTATATATTTTTATTTAGACGTTGATCACGTTTTTTTCGCTGAATAATTGGGTGAAGTATTGTGGCTAAAAACGTGATTTTTGAGGGTTTTGATTAGGTATATATATATTACGATGTTTACATGTATATAATTGGTCCGTTATTACATTGGCAGAGAAACATAGAAGTAAGATAGAGAATCAATCTTATGTCAAAATACTCGACATAGTTATTATAGATTCCATGTTGTGTACAATACAAGCCAATAATTTCTGAATGTCAAAAAGATTATGAAAGTATTTGGTTTTAAAAATTCCTCTTTATTTAGGTAATAATTATAATAGACTGGTAATGAAATGAAGTTTAACAATATGGTTAAAAATAGAGAATTATTTGAGGACAACATTTATGATCATCAGTCTGAATTTTAAACTAAGTATAACCGAAAGTTTACATAAAAAATCTCTCACGGTACGCAGAGACTGTGGAACGCCAATTTTTACAATTCCTGCATACCTCTTTTGCTTCATCACCAGTCATCAGTCATCAGTCTTTTCATATACCTATGCTCGTCGGTTAAAGAGCACTTTTCATTTGGCCCTTCTTTAATTAATCGCTAACCTGGTTAGTATATGTCCATCTAGGCCGTCCTCTATCGACGGCCAGTAAATTGAAAGTTTACTATTTAGAAGGTTCTGGGATTCAAAAAAAGAAGCAAAAGCTCTATAAATTGCTACAGCCGTCTAATTCACGGTATTATCAAAACGAAGTCTACAATCGCAGTCGATGACTAATTATATACATGCTCCCAATCATAGGATGTCAATACATTTCTATTAGCACAGAACATGTCTATCAACCCCTTCCAAAACAAAAACAAATGACATCACAACAATATTATCCATGTTTATTTTCCTTGTAACACATTGCGATTCAAATCGACAATAACAACATGCTACTTATGGTACTCTGGGTAACTAGGTTACATATTCTGAATAGTACGTAGCTAATCAGCAATGGACCTCAACTTGTCATCTTATCACGATTTACGACTGAAAAGCGCTCCTTATCTATAACATTAGTTGACAATTAGGTTACTATGGTACTATTGTTTTGTCGTAGTAAACTTGTTTACTATTTGTGGTAAAGGGTGCGGCTGTTTGTATTTGGAGATGATTTTTTTATATGAATGTTCTAGTTTTGTTAAGGTTTTAAATAGAATAGAAAGATAAGTTAATTTTAAAATTAGCCAAGTCATCATCAACTTCAAAACATCTTCAAAATATTTGTCACTATTGCCGTTAACCAAGGTAAAGAAGAAGTTAGAAGTTAATCAATATTAAAACGTATTTGTTTTGTTTAGCACTTTATCAAACCCAATTTTATATGTCAGGAACATAACCTTAATGAATGAATTAGAAAACTCAAGAAAAATCTAAAAGTACTTATTGTTTCCTTAAATATATTTAAAACTGAATTAGGAAATCAGGTCCAAATTAAAAGAAATATAATAAATTATTTGCGACTTAGAATACAAAAAATGCCTACGGCATTAAGTCCGCCAATTTCACTATATGTGCAATAAAGTTTAATAAATACATAAATAAATAAAAAATGAAGCCTCTTTTAATCTTACGAAAGAAAAAGCTGAATAAAATCAAATACAATATAGTTATTCACAAATCCCAATCACAAAATTCACAAATCCCAATTTCAACTTCAAAAAATCTCCCCACGAATTGCACAAAGACCTGTTTATTACAAAATATGTATTTTCTTGACCTGCTTTTGGTCCTGGTACATACCAGGTCACATGGTCATTATAGTACATAGTCAATTACGTCACGCGACCCTTCGTATGTCAAATATAACCTATATTGGTCTAAATAAACATTAATGCCCTATTTTAACAAGTAGCTTTTTATCAAAATAATAATTATTGCTGTTTATTATTTGATTGTAATGAATTATTGTTTTAGATAATGTTATTGTTTTGTTACGACATAGGGTCCCATTAGTTGGGTTATCGTATGGTATTGTGTTGTAATAAATTGTTTTGTAATTTTTTTGTTTGTTTATTTCTTTTTTGTATTGCATTTTATGATTAGTGATGTCGAAGTTTTTGATTGGGAATCTTTTTATTGATTTTTTCGAAATTTCTATAATTTTATTTAGTTCTGCAATGTCTTTGATTTGTTTACTTAATTAAAAGCAAGAATTGTAGTGTAGTTTAGAAAAAAATTATATCAACAAGCATTTATTTTTAACTAGCGACCCGCCCCGGCTTCGCACGGGTGCAATATGCATTTATTATACATACAAACCTTCCTTAAGAATCACTCTATCTATTAAAAAAAACCGCATCAAAATCCGTTGCGTAGTTTTAAAGATCTTAGGATACATACGGACATACAGCGAAAGCGACTTTGTTTTATACTATGTATTGATTTTCTTGCCTAGAGCATTCTATCTTCTAGACTGTTATTCAAAGTCAAAATCTAAGCATTTATTTCAATTGAACTATAATTTGGCACTTTTGAAACGTCAACAAATATAAAATAAATAATAGTCTATCAGTCAGTGCGTCAGTGAAGCTAGGTGAAGCTAGGTGCTCATTCCAAAATGTAGATTCGAATGGAGAAGAGCGAAAAAGAAATTCCATTCGTTACTCTTTTTAAAAAAGTATGTTCTACAATGTCTCTGATACATATTCCAATACTGTACGTATATGTGAGAACAATGCAAAGACAAGCTTGACACATTATATTAATTACCAAATTTACTAAACAAAGCAAGAAAGCAATTACTCATAATATTTTATTTCACCAAATTGGAAAAAATACCTTTCATTTAACCTTTTATTCTATCAGTTCGAAATCAAATCAAAGTTGTCCTCGACCAATACCTAAACTCTGTATATTATTGTTCGCAGAAAATCTCAACCGTCTGTATCTTGCTCATCTTATGCCTGGCGGTCCTCGTCCGGGAGTCGACCGCACGACCCCCATGGCTAGCTCCTGGAAGCGGTGTGTTCACAGAGTCAGCTGAATGTCATACAGATGTAAGTTGCTAATTAAGACTACACCTATTATTGGAAGCAAGTATAACAGCTCACACATAGGACCCACTTAGTTTTTTAGTCAAATTTCCGTGGTGCTTGGCGACTGGGCTTCACCCAGTTGTACAGTCTCTTCTTTGTGCCTTTAGGCTTAATTCATTCTGTCTCCTGCAGTAATTCACCGAGGAAAGTGGAAACTATAGTTTTTTCTTCTTCTCCTCTTATAATATCTTCTGATTCACTTCGTTGCGGGAACCAAGACAGTTACTCATGTCCCTGGGACGCGCCGGACTTCAATGTTCCGGTGTTTTCATGGTTGTATCTACTGTAGATCCTGGCTTACAGGAGTTGCAGCGGTTTTGGAGGTTGTGGGGGGCTTGTCCCATTAAAAAAAATTAAGACTACAAACAAAACTTTATTGAAGGCAAAACGTAGCACTATTACCCCTCATGCCGTTTAATGTGTTTGTGTTAAATATTCTAGAAATGAATGATTGAAATTAAATCCATGGTTCTAAAGACGTTATTAGGAAGCATTATTTTTTTATATATCGGTATAAGCCGGTAAACAAGTAGACGGATCACCTGATGGTAAGCAATCGGCATCGCCCATGGAAACGTAGAACACCAGAGGCTTTACAAGTGCGTTACCGGCCTTTTGGGATTAGGAATTTGAGGATTAGGGTAGGTAAGGAGGAGCAGGGTAAACTAAGGTAATTGAGCCTTCGGTAACTTCACTCACACGAAACTTATATCTAAATCCTTAATCTTTTTGTCATTACCTACAACAAGTTGAATTGTTGTTACGTATTTCATTTGTTGACTGTTTTTAAATAATGTAAGAAGAAGAAGCAGAAGATAATTGTGACATGACTAGTAAGAATTGCATTGCTCGTTCCTGTCTTTTAAGATTTTAGATATACAATAGGCATGGACATCTGAGTTTGACCGTTATCTTGCTAGGAATAGAGTCCATGGTTTTAAACTGGCACGAAGTTCCACAGAGTAACCGATTAACTTAAAAAAAAAACAGTTTTGACTATTCAAGAATGAACTCGAACTCAGCGTATTTACCTTCACCTTTACGAAATATTGTATAAATATTATAAGATAAAAGTTAAGTAATACTCAAATTATCCACTGTATAATTATGCACAGCACACAAGGAAATATAAAAAGTAATCAGATTCGCGATATTATTGGTCATAGGTCGAAAAGAGGTCTGTACACAATCAGATTAGCAACATTTTTTATATGAGTTGGCAAATATTTAATATTTACTTTATATGAAATCAATGTTTTTAGTCGAATACAGATAACTTAAGTTTGTTAAAAGAACTAGGTTAAATTTTATCCACTGTTTATATTTTGCTTTCAAAATCTTAGAAATGGTTTGTTTATTTTTGCTTCCTTTATAAACAATTGTATTATTAGTTTCTCGTGTTTTTAATTAACATTTTTTGATATTCGTAGACTCGTGGGGTCAAAATTTATTATCAAGTACCACAAGCAGTCATATATCATTGTCATTACGGAAGTCGATGACTTTTGTAGCCTTTTTTGGAGATAGCAAGAAGGTTAGAGAAAGATAGAAGTTATGTTTATATTTCTTTGTCCACACACATTATGAACCTACATTGTCTTGTGTCTTAAAATAGAACTAAAATAAACCATAGCTAGTCTTAAAATTGCGATAGTTTAACGAGTGTGGGAGAGTCATGCTTCGGCATGAATGGGCCGGCTCGACCAGAGTGATACCACGACCTCACAGAAAACCGACGTGAAGCAACGCTTACGTTGTGTTTCGTCGTGTGAGTGAGGTTACCGGAGGCCCAATTACCCTCCCCTTCCCAATCTCCCCAATCCCTGAATCCCCAACGATTCTCAAACTCCTAATCCCCAAAACGCCGGTAACGCACTTGTAACACTTCTGGTGTTCCAGATGTCCATGGGCGTCGCCGATTGCTTACCATCAGGTGATCCGTCTGCTCGTTACATATGCCATAAAAAAAGAGTTGAGCTGCATTATGAAATTTACTATGGCCGAATTGTGATCGTTCACTAAGCGTGATAGTTTCAAAAAGGGTGATCAACATAAAATTCACTATAAGAACCTCAAGGTTGTGCTAAAAGCTATTCGATTTCATTTAGGAAGGGTCCAGCTCAAAGCAAGGGTAGGAACGGGGTGTTATAGTCAGTAATAGCCTGACACTCATGACTCAGGATAATTCATCGGATGATTTCCCCTCCTCAATAAAACGAGTGACATCAAGTATTTGCATTTACTAGATTTGTCGAGATGATAACATAAAGGCACCATCCCATTCTTCGTTTAGTATTGGAATTCTTCCAGCTGATGATGATGAAACCTTGAGATAATTTACTCAACCACATTTCTCTTGTTCCAGGACGAACTCCTAGATCTATGCCAGAGGTGTGCCAAGCTAACCAAGTCTAAATTGGCGTATCCAGCCTGCTGCTCCACTGACCTTCAAGCCAGGAAATGGTGTTCAGATTACGTGTATTTTGGTAGGGGACAGTATGATTTTTATTAATCTATTTTAGATTTAAGCTAATTCTAAGCTAGGCTAGGTTAAGATGAATGTTGGCATGACTCACTTTTGATTATTGGTTGGATGTGAAGCCATTGTGCATTTAATTAGAGTAGATGCCTTTAGGCAGATCTGCTTTTAATATTGCAGTCTCATTAAGTATTTTTGTTATTAACTTTTGAATCGGACACAATTTTTGAAAAGTTTTGTAAAATACCTAAATCTCAGTAAATTGTAATAAATTAAAATGTTATTGACTGACTCGTTGGCCGAGTGGTCGCAAGTGCGACTGCCAGGCAAGGGGTCTTGGGTTCGATTCCCAGATCGGGCAAAGTATTACAGGGTTTTTAAAAATCTCAGTGGTAGCACGGAGTCGCCAATGCGCTCGGTATATGCCAATAGGCTCACCCCCTATCACATGGGACTCATAACATAAATAGTGAAAAGTGGGTGTTACATTGTACAGTGGCATTAAGTGCTGAAATGTGCACCTCTGCCTACGCCTTCGGGGGTAAAAAGGCGTTATTTTTGTGTAAGTTATAATTTCATTAACCTTTTTTGTTTCATTAAATGAATTTCGTATTTGATTTGTTTAGTAAATCAGTAACTGTATTGTAAACTTTTCAATCTTTGTGTGTATATTTTCAAAATAATGGCATCATTAAAACCGTGACAGTCATATCTAATATTTTGTATGAAAATGTAAGTATGTATTTTAATTATATTTACATTAAAATGTAGTTATTTTATAACGAAAAAACTGTACATAATTATATTATTTAAGTTAATTTTAAGATATAGCAATTAAAAAAATACCTAATGTTAATTAATTATAAAACAGATAGATGTCAAATTTTGAAAACCAAGTTAATTTTTTTACAATGTTATTAATCTTCAAGTCAAAGTCAAAGTATTTATTTGAAATATTTCATATACACATTTTTATTAATACATAAAAGAAACACAGTTTTATTTAGTAAATATTACCAGTTTTTATTCAATATTTTAAATGAAGATAAATTATAAATTTAATTCAATTTCCCGTCAATATGTAATTTGTTTTGATAAATAAGATTACATATATAGCTAAAGCATGTACTATGTTATTCAATAACTCAAGAAATGCTAATTATTTTGTTATTTATCAATATCCGTGTGGTCACTTCACGAAACACCAATTAACCTTAACTAAGATTAGAGTAATGAGCAAACTTTGACCAGTCGTGGGAACCGTGATTAATTTCAAATCATGTGATAGGAATTTCAATTTAAATAAACAAAATAAATTTTTGAAATAATTTATTCACAAAATTATATTTCAAATTATGAATAATAAGTTGTGAAATTGTTATTTTTTGTATTGTAATCTAAAATTAATGTAAAAGGATGCATTTTATAAATTAATAGAAAAAAATTGAAACAATCCAATTTGTTTCCGATATTGAACTGTGATAATAATTTTTTGTAAATATTTTCTTAATAAAAAGATTTTGTAAATATAGAATATATTTCTATAAATTTTATGAATTAATTGATTTTGTAAAGGAGAAGAATAAAGTCGAGTCTAAATCTGATTTTAATGTGTTGTTTCATTAAGTTCTCGTTGTATATTATTTTTTAAGAGTTGTTAGGTATGTAGGTACTATAAAACATTTTCGGTGTTGTGGTGGCCCGGAGGTTAAGATGCCTGCTTCTTATGCATGCATATATGAGAGTGCAGGTTTGAAACCTACCAACGGCAAGTGCCTATGTGACGTTTTCCGAGTTACATGTACTTTCTAAGATTATTTAGACACCACTGACAAACGGTGAAGGAAAACATCGTAAGGAAACCTTTGAAATCGCCAACTCGCAATGAGCAAGCGTGGTGATTAATGCTCAGACCTTCTAAGTGTAAGAAGAGGAGGCCGCAGGCCCAATTACCCCTCTCCCTAGTCGCCGTCTACCGGATATCCGAATCCTCCACAATCTTCAAATTCCCAATTCCCAAATGGCCGGTAACGTACTTGAAACGCCTTGGTGTTTCGAGTGTCCATGAGCGGCGCCGATTGCTCACCATCAGGTGATCCGTCTGCACGTTTACTGGCTTATGCTATAAAAAAGAGGCTTTCCTCAGCAGTGGGCACAGGCTGTAGATATTGTATCTATAATAACTAGAGTATACAGCCGTCCTCTGTTATATGTGAAACAAGTGAATTTATTTCTGCAAATAGGCTACAAGGCAGCACTTTTACACGTCAATTTTATCAAGCGAACGATGAGGTCGACATTTCCTAACTGACTACTCTGAGAAGAAATGCCGAAACAAACTCAGAGGTCTGTCTCTTTTAAAGTCCAGACAAATGTGTATAAAAGATTATGTGTGAGAACGGTGCAAGTTTTTTCTGTAGTGGCCTTTTGAGGAAAGAACCACAACAGTTTGAGCAGACTCACTCTGAAGGCAGTACGCATGTGTCGGTTTATAATCAGCTAAATTAACAGGTGAGACTGACTGATTCGACGAACAACACCAACCCAAAAGAACATTTGCGTGGGTCGCACAAATACTCAAACTGTCAGAATATGAAAATAGTTCAAGTAGTTTCACCGTCCTTATAAGACAATCCTAACACCTTTGTGGAGTAAAAGATGTTACTTAACCGACTTCAAAAAGAAGGTTTTTAAGTTTGACCTGTATGTATGTTTGTGTGCAATTATCTCGCGATTGACTGAACCGATTTCGATGCGGTTTTGAGAAAAGAGTTTGTTACGTTCAGAAAAAGGTTTGATAAGACTATACCTCTAATTAGTATAGAGTAATTAGTCAGTTAATGTCGACTTCAAAATAGAGGGAATTGAAGTCGGTTTTCTTAAACATAGTTTATAAAAGAACTAGCTGTTAGAATAATGACTTCTTGCAGAATTCATCAGAATTGATTCCGTGCTTTAGTAAGATTCATTTTTAAATGATTTTATTGAGGTTTCAAACATTAATAATCTCGCAGGAGTTACAGTGCCTGTTCCCGTAAGGCTTTAGTGATATAAACTATCCTATCGACTATTGTTGTACCGAACCCCTGTAAAATAATTTCAGTGTTTAATTATTTCCCAGGGTCAAACTATCGTTTTACCGAATTTAAGTCAAAAATATTCGTTGATTTTAGAGTCAATAAACTCTTATATTTTTATACTCTATTTTATCCTCCTAGGAGTGGTATTTATCAAAATTCTTTCTTAGGCGATGCATACGTCATAGTATCTTTATGCATGCAAATTCTCACAGCCTTTCATCCCCTATGTTATCCCCATGGGTGTGGAATTGATCAAATTTTTTTCTTAGCGGATGCTTACGTCATAACATCTACCTGCACGCTGAATTTCAACCCGATCGGTGTAAAACTAGCAAAGGTTCATGCAAACTTTCATTCCCTATTCTACCCGTTTAGGGGTGGGAATTATAAAAATCCTTTCTTAGTACCTAGATGTCTAGGTCAAAAAATGTAATTTCAGCCCGATTCGTCCAGTGGTTTGGGCTGTGTGTTAATAGATCACTATGTCAGTCAAGACTATCAGAAGATTATTTGGTAAATTTCATTCACCAAAATATCATCTCGAGTAATTGCGACTAGATACTGTAGGTAGTATTTTATGGGTAGTCTAAAGAAATTAAACAACAATATAAAAATCCATAAATTAATTTAATAACACTATTCGACATATTATAACAAGTTTGTATGTACAAAACCTCATCTAACACCTTTAATATATTGTTTCTATACGTTGCAGAGACTAGGCGGAATTATCTCATTCAAAGTTGTTCTACATTGGAAAATAATTTACAATGTCTTAATTTTAAGGTTTAATTTAAAAAAAAACAACACTCCAGTTTCATTAATACAGAAAAAAGAAATTTATTACAACTTATACAGCTCAAAATCATTAAATTATGAAATGAATTCCGCCCTTGTCCTTCCACTCCGCTAGAGTGCATCTCTAGTATTTCTTTTAATTTATTTTACTTAGAAAAAATACAAAAAATATCAGCGTAAAATACAAAGTACAGTATTTTTTCAATTCGGAAAAACATTTTTTTTACCGAACTGAAAAAAATGGCCGCTGACATTTTGCGATTTTTTCTCCCTGTTTATATTTACATTAGTACAACAGTTAAACTTATTTATTTACGATTTTTTTAGTCTCACAAATACCTATTTATTTAATCACGATTGTAGAGCGGTTAAAACTTAAGATAAAAGCTGTAGAGGCGCCATTTTGTAAAAAGAAACGGAAAATGTTTAGTATCGGAACCAGTACAGATTAAATTGAGACTATTATCACATTTACATTAACATTGTTATAAAAGCGACGTTAAAATTAAACATTAATTAAAAAATATTAAACGTCACAAAATGTAACCTATTACAAAAGTTTTTATTCGTTGTAATAATAAATCGTACAAAAATCGGTGAGAGAAAAATAAAAGTAAAAAAATAAATGCCGATTGTGTATGGTTTGTCCGTTCTAAACATACTGTGAACACATCTATTCGATCGTGCAACGTTTGCACGATTGCACAATGTATTTTTTGTGCAATACACGCCCTAATTCACCTATCTTTGGATAGTCTTAGGTCTTCCGACTACTATTTTACACGATAAATGTAATTTATACTAAAATTTATAAAGATACGGTTTTAGATAAAAATCAACTAATCTTTGTAGACATTCCCGCTTGGACGGATATTAAAATCTCTATGTGTCGTCAACCTACATGAAGCCTTGCTGTGCTGAACGTCCATCTTATAGCTCAAATATAAAACCAATATCATCAATCTAAAAACACCTTAACTATCCCAACCAATTAAATTTGAGCTATCAAACAGACATGACTATTTTCATTACCGCATTCTCTGATAATAATAATACAAATTAGAAATTATACTAAACTGGTTAGATTTTACAGAATAAATAGACTTCTTAACTATGAAATGTGAGTAATTTTTTTCGTATCAACTGAATACCCTGTTGAAAAAAAGGGGGGAATATCTTACAATAGAAATACATTCAAGTAACTGACGAAGGCATACATTCGAAAGTTTAATTTTAATTTACGATTGTAAAGCAATTAATGAAATAATAATTAACGATCAAACAATTATCAATCGATTAATTTATTTAACGGAATAATTTTGATTGATGCGTGCATAATACCAGAATGATACGTTATTTTAAATCAGAGTACAGTACCTATAATGAGTCTTATAAATATGTTGAATGAGATAATTTCAGTTCAT